AAAAACGCAGCTCCCTAGGTGGACAGAACTATCCAATCATTCAAACTGCATCACTGGGGCAGGTGGATATCAATCCGGAACAGGACTTTGCATTTTGATGAGGCAACGATCATGTCGTGCTTGGTTACTTCAATCGCCAAGCGGTTTAGAATGAACTGCATGCTCTAGAGGTCGTCGTCCAAGTCAGCCGCACGGTTGCCTGGAACAAGCTTTGCGCCTGAACGCTGGAGACGTTGCAGGGCGTTCAATAGGACATCCTCAGTACTAAAATTGTAGAGAAAAGGTGACATGGGACATCTTTGTCGTACACCTCTAGTGTTGGCGAAATGTGAATTAGGTTTGCCATAAACTATCACACTGCTTGAGACATTTTATTATAATGCTCGAAGGATGGTGGTATACTTTTCGGGTACCCCATTCTTCTGCAGGCAACGCCATAAAGCTGGCCGATAGACTAAGTCGAACGTAGTTAGGGTGTCCAAAGAGGTGACATTGATAAGCTGATAGTAGAGGCGACGCTGCTTGAGGAGTTGGTGGAACGTAAACATGTGGTCTACGCACCCTCGACCGGGTCGGAAACTAGCCTGTTCTCCAAGGGATTGCAGTTCTCTACTTGGAATCAGTCTGTGCACTGTAATAAATGTTTAACAATTTGGAGGCTACAGACAGACTAGTTCCTCTGTTCATCGTCAGCTGCTGCAGAAGCACAAGTGACGAATCAGGGTACATTGCGCCCGAAGAGCCTACTGCTTTGACTCGACTGGTAGCCGCCATACATTTGCAGCAAACGCTGCTACTTACTGTATATCCGGAAGCAATTCCGAAACTCCCACCCAACCGCTCTTTTGAACCACTTAAACTGTCTGCTTGCACATTCATATCCTCTGTAGCGATACCCAAGTCTGCCATAGTTGCATTTCGAGGTATCACGCTTAGTTCATGGTAGGAAGCACTTTTGGCATCATCTTGAGTGCATTTGTGCGGTGAATAGATGTCAATCTTAACTACACAGGGTCTGGCACTGCACCGTGCACTGACCTTGGTTGCGATTATCGAGCGGACTTTCCACAGACGATGGTGATTCATTCCAGATTCACTTATGGTTTCCACTTCAGCATCTGCGGGCGCATCCCGCCATTAGTCGTTTGAGGGTCAAGGACTAGTTTCGGAAACGCAACGCCGTTCAAAGCGGAGGGTAAGCAATGTGTGTGCAGGTGCAGGTTGTTGTCCCATCTGGTCCGAAGGCTGAGCTCAACCAAAGAGATGGGATGATGTGATCTGAGAAAGGGTTTTTAGTAGCATAAAGCTATAGGGTGTTGTGATGCTTATTTAGGTAGCAGAGGTTCGGTAGAACTACATCTACCACTCGCACTGCAGACTAAGAAAGGCTAGTACCGGGGATCGGAAGATTATTTGAGGAGCAATTAGCAAATAAGGGAAGGATCAGTCATAGTTCATCTTCGCTTATCCGCCCTACTGCATGCGGTGGGGCAACGACCGTTACAGGATGAGACTGGAGGTTGAAGAGGAATTTTTGCTTGTGTGTGAGCTAGGATATCACCAAGGCACCCGAACGTAGAAAGGATTTCGCGGGCACTACCTGCCTAAACTTCCGGTTCCTATATATCTTCAACCCACAGTAGCCAAAAAAGGCATCTGCAGTACGCTGCTACGCGGTACCGACGCTTCGCTGCCGCTCAGCCACCACCAGTCGCATGTGGACTAATGATACTGCGACAGTCGCGCAGTCCATACGCGCCCTCGTATTACAAGGCTGGATTGTGATCCTTAAGACTACCGGCCGACCCCACAGTAGCCATGCCTCTTAGGTATACACTAACATTGGTCACACTGCATTTTATTTTTGTTTGGTAATCTGTCACACTGTCTGCATGAGTGACCGTGTCCTTTAAACCCCATGGTGGCCTTATGTATGCAGTGACCTTTTAGGTTATTTGAGAGCCATAGGGGACACTTGCATGAGTTTATCTAACATCTCCATTATCTGCTCGGTGATGATGAGGATCTGTGCTCTGTCGGTCTGGTTATGCAGCACTCTCTTACACTTTTCGGTGCGAAGTAACTTCTAAACTGTGACGTTATGTGTGGGATATCAGCAGTCTAACAACTAGACAAAGAGCCACCAGAAAACCATGGAGATCAGAGGATAAGGGAGAGTCATCGCGTTATAATCATCGTGGCATAGTAATTAAAGGTGAGCAATGCACTTCAGCTAATATGCTTCACTCTGTTTACAATTAATTTTACAGAGAATACCTGACCTCATAAATGTAGGTCTCTCGATACGGAATAAGCAGCCAGGTTGCAGCCACACAAAACTACTTCATTAGAAGCTCTCACCAGAACTGACGAAATACTGTAATCCTTATTCGCTCTGTCGATCCCACAAACTCAGAGGAAAGCTTTCCGTCGACATTTTTGTTGCCTCCGGAGTCGTGTTGTAGGGGACGGTTCCACGAGTGGCTGGATTACTTTATCTGGACATTTGTTTAAATTTGCCTTTGTTATTGGTCCTGGCCTTTTAATTTCTTTAATACCTTAAACCTGCCAATTACTTTAATACCCGTTTTGGATCCATTGTAAAAAGCGTGAACGAATTGATTACTTTTTGCGATCCTGCTTTACACATTGATCAGACCACCTAGTTGGACTGCATCTAGCATCGCCGAGGAATATGCCATTTATTTATTTATAAATATATTTGTTTATTTCGCTTTACTATAGATGAACTTCTCTGGCACGTTGCTGTAGGAGAGGTAGGGCTGTGAACCAGCGTCGTCGATTGAAGTTGACCATAAGGCTTGTGTGGCGATAGTCCACCACTTGTTAGTGCGTTATTATCCGGTCCAATCTCTTGGTTTTCATTGATCCAACTTCTTTCTCTTTACTCCCTTTAGTTCACCAGGTATTTCCCTAAGACTTAACTGGCGACGCACCACCAGAGGTGATCAAACTCCCTTACTTCCTGTTGATTTATGATGTTTGTTTAGCGCATCTGGATCCACTATCGGACGTTTCAAATCACCCTCGTTTTAGACGCGTACATATACTGCTCCGATGTTGTTCACAATTCTTCCAAGTATTGACTGCAATAATGTAGCTTGAGGGACAACTAACTGTGTCCATGTCAGTACTACCTAGCATTATCACTCATTATGACCGGATTACAGCAACGATGGCTAAATGAAATGATTGAGCGGATGCCACTATATAAACGCTATGTCGATGACATGATGTGTTTAGCTGATGGCTCCGTTGACCAGATTTAGCTATTACGGAATTTCAGTCGGACCCACGGGAACATTCAGTTTTGCATGCAATTCGAATGAAACGACAGTTTGGGTTTGCTGAATGTCCAGATGTCACGTCGACCAGATGCCTTGCTGCAGGAAAGCGACATGGACAGGTCAATATATGCGCTTTGATAGCTTTGCGCCAATTCTACAAAAACAGAACCTAGTCCGCTGCCTTATCGGAAGAGCAATGAAAGTATGCTCCGAATACACTATTGGGGCAGAGGTCGCCATAATAAGAAAGGTATTCCCGGATAACAGCTATCCCGAGGCCTTCATTGACAGGAATATGGGAAATGACTATCTTTGCCAAAGCACCCACAGTAGGAGGAAAGAAATCTTTCTACTTATTGTTACCATTCAAGGGGGACACCAGTTCCGAACACCTCAGCAAACGATTACTAGCGGTTGTCATAACCACCTATGGGGCCGCATAGTCACGCATTGTCTTCATTTCCACGACCATGCTACATCTCCAGCTGAAGGATAAACTGTGTACATTTTCTGTGTGTACTAATTTGCCCGTTCTTGTGGAATGAGTTACATAGGTTGCACCACGAGACGTTTATCGGAACTCGTCTGAGAGCATCATCCAGCAAGACTAAGCCGAGGATTGAACAAGACGTGCACTACCCTAATAGTCTCATACCTAGCCCTACCGAATTATCCCATCGTTGTCTCTAAAGCCTTTCGCCCGATCTGCCTTGTGAAGATTGTCCATTCCAAGCTTATCAGGTGTCGAATTCTTGCATTGACAGTGGTGATCGCGATCCGTTGTGGGTGCATAAACAGTTCATCAAGACTTTTACTTTACCATAGCCAGCTGTTGTCCGAGCAGTTTCCGCGTGAACATCCACTTTGTGCATTTTAACAACTTCGTTTTCTAGTTCATCAATCCACTTCTCATCTTAACTACTTCAATTCATTGTATTTGGCCTGACGAACCACCAAAAACGAGTTTATTTGCTAGACCATCTTTTTATGACTGAAACGAGAATTGTGCACCATTGGAAGCACATCTTGATTTCGTCATCTCCATAACTAGTCCGACACTCACCACACATTCGAACAAAACGATCACTAATGACCACTTCGTCCTATTTCGGACTCAATAACAGCGGGCATATCAACTGAATCCCATGGGCTGCAAACCCACGACATTTCACTTTCGAAGCAGCATCATCATTATTCACGTAACTTAGAGGTGGGAAACAGCTCAGCTGTTGTGCCACAAGGACCTAAGTCACCGGGTTATTAACGATGGTGGCGACGACTAGCCCCTTCGAGTGCTCCAAAATCCCCGCACTGCTTCCCGGATTTCATCGATCTTGCCTGTGGAAACTTCACCATCTCCATATAGAGTATACAATTTCATCTCCCTTATCGTAAACATATACTCACTAATCTTATGGGCTGCTACCTTGATTTATTCAAATCACGAATGATATGTCCATATGCGTTACTCGATGATGCTCAAGCAAACTCGCCTCGTACAACTACTACTCTATCCTACGCTGTCACCTATGCCTTCAAACGCACTTTGATTTTAGCTAGTAGCACTCTTTTGTTGTGAACTCTTCCTTCTATACTACTCATATCGAACTTAGGTTTCTCCTATATCGATATTTTCCGCATGTGTTTCTCTGTTTCATTTTTTGACGGCTGTCTGATACGTTCACTTAACAGGAAATATCAAATATTTCTGTTGGCCGAGAGAGCACATTTCGTGCGGCGTGTGAGTACAAAGTCGTCTGTGATTCGCCCGCCGCAGAAGCCCAACCATATCCAACCTGCCATGATGCCAATTGGGGACCTGCTTGGCCCCATGTACAACACTACGCTCTGGAACCCACCCGTACGGACGGCGTCATTAACGTGACCGCTAAAGCCGATCTGGCTAAACCCGCGGGGGATAGAACACCCCCTCCTGCCACTGTCGACATTTGCTTTGGCAAACGGCGTCCTGAAGTGAATTTGTTGGCCAAACTGCATAAAAACGATTTGGCTGATGATTACCTCGATCAGTATCAACGTGTCACTGAAACTGCTCGTGAAACCGCATTCCACATAACTTTACCCGAGCCCGGTAAGCAAAACCCTGAGCAACTTGGACTCTTTATTCCGGGCCATACCGGCGGACTATTACACCTTTGCCTAACGTTGCTGCGTAGTTTGTTGCCATCAACCTGGTTTCGCTGTGCGCTACTATGCCTTTGTACACAATCGAATTTCATGCATGACTTTTCTCGGCTAGAACTTTCTCCACATCTCACAGGCTGCATTCCGCATCCTGACTCAGTGTGTTCCCTTCACTTCTGACACATTTACTTCGCACACATCTGATGATACTGTTAGTTGGCATCGTCTTACTCACAAGTTGACCACATTCCAGTGTGATGGAAGTTATCCATATATGCCTAACCGCACGCAACATTGCCAACACGGTCACAATCACCATAGTCATCATCGCTTTCTGTGTTACACGTGTCAGGTATTGTTGCTTTGTTGGCATCATTTGTCAGTAGGCATTACACCAGCGCTAAAGTACGGATAACTACGAGAGGTCTGTGACCCGTTTTGTGGATCGTTGCAAACATCCCCTTTCTTTCGATTGACTCTTCAAGCCAAATTATTCGCTTGAGCATCCAACTCATTATTCTGTTAATGTTTGGTTTGTCTACTGGTTTCTCTGCCCACACAGTACAACGCTGGCTACATCATATTGCAACCCTTCCGCAACCATGCCTGCTCTTACTACGGTGTGTACGCTCGTTGCCCAATGCGATACACTGGGTTACGTTGTCAGGTCACCTTAGACTTGCTCAAACCTAACACGTCAATTGTTATAAGTCAGCTGTATTCTGTCTCAACACTTCCTTCGTGGGAGATTTGGAAAAGGTCGATTATCCTCCACATTGAAGGCCTCACAATGAGATCCGACGGGTTATAGTCTCAACTCAACCGACAAAGAGCACAAATGCCACGGGTTGTCTCTGAAGACTGGATCGCATAATCATTGTTCAATCATTTGCTATTGTCCACCACAGCTTAAGTACTCATTGTCCAGTAATGTGCAATCCTGCAAAAGCCCATGTTTGGGCCACCGTTTTCACCCAGGCTTTACATGGGTGCTCAGTCCAAATCAGCTCCACACGGACTTAGTAGCTGCGCTTGCCAGCTAAATCTGCCTTGTGGATCACACTGTTTAACCAAAGGTTTACTTACGAGTATCCTAGGGACAGATGTCTTTATTGGAAAAGTAACCACCTGATATCATCGCTGATCTTCTCTTCCACTCTTATGTTTCCGCTCTCTCACTCGTCTTCTCTTACGGGTTAGCTCGGCAAGCGACTGTCACTACGCACTAGTCAGTCAGACGAGATAATCAGATAGACATTCAAACCATTGGGGCCATCTCGCACAGAATTTTTCTACCTACACGCCTTTCTTCGTTGCACCAATCAACAGGTGTCTTCTCTTGTAGGGGAAATGTGCCCTCTCTTCAAAGTGACTAGTCAGTGAAATCAAGAATGCACTTTCTACACTCATGAAGGCATCACCATTTATCTGTTGCTACCTGCTCATCATCTAGTGGCGAGGCTTGCATACTTGTACATCATGACATCGTTATTGGTGAACAATCTTTACGGCATCGTGGTCGGCCCCAGTGGGCAAGTTAATGCCCACTTTGACTCATAACTGTAATTCCCAAGCTACGCCTGACAGGAACACTATAAACCCACCTTTTGATGGAGACACGGATGTCGTGGCGGCGCTATAGATGCTTCAGTCTGGAGAAGACGAGACGGGTTCTTCAGATGCGCTTCTAACCTACACGGCAACAGGGCAAAATGAGGGTGTCACTACCTGTCGGTAGACAATGACCAAATGAGTGGTTCATACGACTTTAGGACCGCAGAGGATTAGGGGCCCAACGCACCCTTGAATCACAATACCGTTCAGAGAGAGGCAAGGGTTAGTGAATATATTTAGTGGCGATTCACGTCCGCCGCGTCACAGCGTTGTTAAACGGACATATGGGACCTTTTACAGGGAGAACGCTTGCCAGGCGAAAACCCACCACGTTCTGGAACAATGTCGCAGAACCATTCGCTGGAACGGGATGATCCCGAACCACCCAGCTGACACCACGAATAGATTGTTCGGCAAACAAGCCCTGTTGGTAAATAAAATGAGAAACGTCAATATTGCTCCTTCGACATTTTCATTAGATGCGGGTGACATTCCGCAAATATCTGTGATCGAACACGCCCATGCGCTGCGCCAACTACGATTCAGGAGCTTCTGCTTACGGTCTACTAGTTATCAGCACACTAGACACTAGATGTCGCCGGACCGTAGCCTTAAGGATCACAACGTGCCTTGTACTCTGAGGGTGCGGGCTCGAGCCTGCGTAGGGGGGTTGGTCGACCCTTGCAGTCTCCTCAGCCCACGCGCGACTGGTGGGGGTTGCGCGTCAACGAAGCGTCGCTACTACGTACTGGGATGCTGCTGATACCTTCAACACTGGAAATTCTCCAGGTGAATTATGTTTTTGGATTTCAGGAGAGGAAACCTTTTAGTAGGCATAACAGCGCGAATAAAATGGATAGCAGGCATAAACTAGAACGAGGCCCATGGGCAGATAAGATGATTTAGTGAAGTCGGAGAGCCCACGAAATGGTACGGTTAGAAACGTAGGGTAATACTCGCTCCACTGGCTCCTGGAAATCACGCGTCCGTGCAACAGTCAGGGTCAGCATCGACACCTTACTTCACAATAAGGAGCACTATGTGGCTTTTGTTTGACAGAGCAACCCCAGGGATAGCTTAGGTAACCTTCTGCCATCGTGTCTATATTGCACTTGGCGAACTATGGCTGGTTCATTTATTGACTTTTCTATGAGTTCCGAAATACTTTTACGTTTCTCAACTGTTTCCATTCTAACAATGCGCATTCTCTCGTATTCTTATCATGTAAGGTTGGTAGCGAGGTTTCCCGGAAAGCATTGACCCATCTGCTCGACCATGTATCTAAGAAGGAGATTGCCTTAAGCAACTAGGGCTAACCGACGATGGTTACTATACTCAGGAAAAACAGTTGCTGTTTGGCGGTGATAGTGACAAACTTTCCGGCTCCTATTCTTGTCCTCAGTCTTTTAGTAGGGCGAAATTCTCGGTTGAGAAGAGCTGACAGGTTTTTGAACTAAACCGGGTTATATCCATCGTATTTTTACTCCCTAAGGAGGTGCTGGAGCAGGGTATTGCATGCTAACCGTAGCTCTGTTCCTCGACTTCAAGACCATTTTTGATTTAACTGCGATCTCTAAATTCCGTTCGACAGTTAGCCAATGTGGTGTCCTCCTAATATATGTGATCATTTTGTTTGCTCTATACTTCAATACAGAGGGCCGCGTCACCGCCCACGGGGGATTGTTCATTGTCTTTCAGATAACAAGCGGAGTTCGCTAATTCGCCCGATTCCTTTCAATTTCATTCCATATTCCATCATAAAATGCTCCGTTGTGGTAACTGCTGTCTTTTGTTGTCTTGCCTCGGGAAAACTGACCGATTTGTATGATACAGATGATGCTGTTTTCCTATTGGACAAGCGCAGGGTTGTATTATTTATTATGAAATAGTGCCTGGTGTGGTCCACTTTCAAAACTCGATGTACCGTTAGCGGACCACCAATCTTTGACGGCGACAAATTGTAACTTGGTTAATCAGTACGACTTCTTCGGCAGCTGCCTCGACCTTGACGTCTGTGTTACCTCTAGAGTTAATTCCCACTTCATGAATTAGTGACATCCATGGCGGCAGAATGGGATTTCTTTTGGCCTAAAAGATCATGTGTGAGCAAACACAGTGAGGAATGTTCTCCTCTACTGGAATAAGTTCTGCTCCCCTAAAGGTTGAAAGCCTCAAACACTATCACATGTGTGACCACCGTCGCCTACGGAGCTCCACTTGTGCCTGTTGGCACTAGTGTGTCTGCAGTGATGTGGTGTGCAGACGCGTATTGGTTTGTAGTGAACAGGTTAGGTGCTTGTGTCATTCGAATGATGAATAAGTTGAGTTAACTTGTTCACGCGGTACGAATATCCTTCCACAATTTACAGAGGTTTCTTTGTTGGTCACTGGATCAAAAGTAGCGTAAAACTCAGAGATGAAAACCAGCCGGAGTGCTTGCGAGAAAAGATGTCATGGACTACCACACTGGTGGTGTTGTTGATACATCTCAGCTACGAAGCATAGGTTCATTTCTTCACCTTATGTTTGCTTCTGGACCTTGAAGACCATGACTCGCCGGGACGTCACTGGGGCATTTGCTGTCCTCTCTCTTCCGAACTGTCTGTTTACAGTCTGTGCCACTGCGTTATATACGGGTCATGGTGATTCTGTCATGGAACGATTGAGGTCCATTTGTTGTCCCATCGGTGTTGCTTTGTATTCATCTAGAAATCAGCCGTTCGTCGCCTAATGGCAACTGCTATGTTTGAGTGTCTTTAGTTACGTTTGTTTCGATCATTTGGATGTTGCGCTAGGTTCCCCCATCCCTCGTCATTTTCACACCCCCCTTAGTGACTGCATTCTTTTCCCTAATGCAAATTTGCGGCGGGTTGCTTGCACTAAGCATTGATTTACCGGCATCGATTGTGTTGATGTTGACAATGTGATCTGGCTTGTGATGGACAGAGAAATAATCACAACCACGCACCTTTTATCGTTGTTACTTCTTGTCGGCGACTGTCACATACCGAGTCTTCCGTTTTAGCCCCAAATATGAATTTATCAATATTACTTTAGGTGTGGCAGTGGCCAATGTATTGATGACCAGCGATACTCTGTAAATGACCATAGATTTTGCTAGCACACGGTCAATTCATCGCCTTGTGACCGCTGTTTTTCTCTGTTTATTTGACCTGCACTACTTGTTTTCAATAACAAGACACTTTTAACGCTTTGGGGTCTTTTGGCAACAACAACAACGACTCGTGCTGCCAATACTTCCATCCCATCACTCACAGTTTCTTAACTCAGCAGAGGCGTTTGCTAAAGCATTCATATGCGCTCGATAGGATACAAAGCGGAATCGATCGGCGGTGGAATTACTGCTGTATTATCTGTTGAGTGCCTAAGGGACCCTAAACTATCTGCTTGTATCGTCCAAATGCGGAGACCATGTTCCAGTGGAAAATGTAGACAACATGTGCAATATCTAAGGTTGGTTTTCAGATGCGTTCTCTCTATGGCAAGTCAGTCCAACCACTGTCATGCCACTTATTCGACATAAGACCGTGATAAATAAAACTTATTGATTTAACATTACCCGATACGACCCACGCATCGGCTCCTATTTCTTTGTAATGTGCGACGTATAAGTGGAACATCCGCTGTGCCTACTGCACGACCTACGTAACCGGCCAGACTGGTCCTGATGTTTCAGCTCATTGAGACCGGGACCTTTTTAAAAGTGGTCACGGAGGCGAAGGGGTGTAACGGGGACCAGGACCGGTCTACACTTTCAATCGCCTACAGGTCTCTAGAATGTATAGATCGGAAAAGATAACTAATTTTCTGACATACAGCTTACTGGTCCGAGCAACGGCATGTTCAAAGGTATATCTCCCGAGTAATAAGGTGTATCATCATTCGGAACCGTGTATGGAGAACCAGCGCAGATGCTATTCGATACGCTCCAAATGGTGAGCGTTTGCATAAGTAAAGACAAGCAGATTGTGGCAATGATGAAATAATCAAAATGTCGTTAGCTTGTTATATAAACACAACTGTCTTGTTTTAGCGGTTTGTTGTCTTCAGTTAGTCACCATCAGCATCATTATACACGTTAGCTAGAGGTGGCAAACACCAGCTATTGTGTAGCAATACAAAGCAAAGAAAGAAACATGAAACTGTTACACGCCGGCTTAGTCTCCAGTAACGGATGGACATGGTTCTGGAAAGCTAACAGCTGGCTGTTGTGTCGCAAAAGAAGAGTTACATTCTATCTAATAAATGAGATCGTGGTTGGAGAAGGAGGAGCAAAGAAACTCACAACACAAACGCCATTGAGGCCGGCTCCTAGCCATGTCAACAAGTGCATCCAGCCAAACGTAGTCATCGTGTTTCGGGCCCTGACCAGAGAGCCGGGAGGCTCTAACCGAGGCCAACTTCGAAGTAAGGACTTTCATTCCTCTTGACCAACTCATCGCTTAGTCACCCCTCCTTCCATCCGCACCTCCGGCGCGCAAACGATGCGCGTCGCAGCAGTCGATGTGCTGGTATACACGATACGTGGCCCACCATCGTAGCCTCGTGTGTGATACAGCGATGCTGCGCGGTTCATTTGCTTTTCCTGTGTCATAAACAAGGCGCCGAACACGCCCATTGCTCACACGGTTTTCCCATCAAATATGAGCCAAACTGAAAGGCGCCGGCGGTCGAATGTAACTAGTCTCTTTATGTCGGTTGATGTAATGGATTAGGTTTCACAACCGTACAGTAGAGTCGAACCTATGGTTGCGCTGTACACTTTACCATTCATAGAGTGATGCCGCGCTGGCACCATAAGTGGCGAAGATTAGCCAAAGCGCCTCATGCTTTTGCTATACAGTTTGTGACCTTGTCTTCAATTCCAGTGGCACTGATACAACTGCCCTGGTAATTGAATTTTTGAAAGACGTTTAGCTGATCCCCACAATGAGTCATCGCAGTTGGCGGTGCACAAATCACCGTTTTTGTTCGTTGCCTTAAGTGTCCTCAATCAGAAAATACTTCTTGTGCTTTGAACCCCTAGGTTCATAATCTACTTGAGCTCCCTCTGTGCTTTCATTTGTTTTAATGTTTGTGGTTTTATCACTTGGTTTTTTTCGATAACATTTAGCCTTTTTATTTTATACGCCATTCTCATACAAGGTGAATATGGGTTGGAAATATACGCCAACGAGCCTGATGACGGTGACACATACACTCATATGTGTCAGTATCTGCTATACTACGAACCTCCCCCAGGCTGGCGTCCAGTTCCTCGTCTAACCGCTTCCGGTGCTGATGCCGGCCCCTCGCCCTATGCTCCACATCCCTGGCGCCAATCTGAAGCTAAGGGTGATCACATCTCATCCTCAACGCTTACCGAGGCTTCGAAAAGGCCTTCTATGATCACCAGACCTTTGCATGATATGTACAACTACGAACTTTACGCTCCGCCCATGGGACATCTTCCACGGCCATACGCCGAATCCCAGTACGCACAGGTGTTCCCAGTGAGTTTATTGATTCTCTATCTTTGCTTTTGCGGACATTTCAACCCAAACTTCATGTTTATGTTTGCACTCACTACCGTATATGTGCTCCTTCGCGCGATTTCGGTACACACACATAATGCGTAGTTTGAACGAGTTGTTCCCTACTCTCCCAGAATTTATGATTGGCTACCAGGTGAATCAGTTAGGCCTTCCCCACTTGTTTGTTTCACCGAAAAAGTTTCCCTGAAATCCCATTTCGCATCTATCCATCACCTCATGGGAGTGTGCACGATGCTGTCCACCCTTTTGGGACTGATTTTGATATCATCTCCATCCCCGGCTCTCCGTTATTTCTCGTGCACACCCCGTACGTCTCCAATCCTGTTAGCCACCGTGGCACACCTTCTTTACTGTTCGTCAACGCATTCCTCACGTCAATCGTCATTCATCTCAATGAAGTCTTACTCGCAGCACTAACCATCAGTTATCGGACGCATGATATGCTATGGAGTGCCTGTCCATAACGTAACGCTGACTGGACGAGCTGTGCATCGGACAACGCACCTTTAGATAACATACTAGCTCGAAGGTGGAACAATCAGGCCTATTTGTGCACCTCATTCATGGTGCCGTTCTGATTCTCCTACTCTGCACCTCATCATCTACAACGTATCGGTGGTGGTTGATTTGTGCACCACGCGCGCTTTGCCCGCAGTGATCCATGATTTCTCTGATTTTCTCACGCCTGCTCGTTTTTCTCCATACTAATCACTTATAGTGCACCACAGTGATCTCAAGCGAATCTCTATACGACCCCGCATCCACATTTGCAAACTGGATCTTGTATGGTGAACGCAATCGTCGTCACCATAGTACTTGAACCCGATAAAGGCGATAATAATAATAATATGGAAACCTTAAGCAATCGTCACCAAAATTGATGGTGACCATGGCCAAAAAAGATCAGAAACGTAATACTTTGGGCTTAGGCGTCCGGTGCAAGTTCCGAGCACATGGACCTCACAAGTTGCAGGCTGTTCGTGTTATAGAGAATCCGCTTATGTGCTTCGTCATTAGATCTCCGTTCAAGGTAGCGGGATTGACTTACTCGATTCGATTCTTCGGTCAGCTTCTTCATTCTCTTTACCATGTTATTGACTGCTACCGTATAGCCCTACTAGATATGTCACATGATTTCAAATCAAAACATTCCATCAGCGGACAGGTTGATTTAGTTCACTACTATTTAGAGGCACTCCTGCAAGTTGAACAATATTTTTCTGTGGCTAATATCACAGAGTTCATGGCCACCGGAGTTTGTTGTCTTCTCTAGGCCTGGTTGTGCTGTCGCACTTTAGTTGACACGTATCACCGAACAAAAGCAAGTAGCAACCACAAAACTCAGGCAACGGAAATACGTCTTTTCTGAATCCTTGTGACCTCTGTGTGGCGTTACTAAGAAGTACGCGACTTATTCGCCATCGCCTATGTTCCTCGAGTAAGAACTCCTACTGTTAGGATGTCGATAACTCAAAAATCGCCATCCGTTTGAAAATTTTAACGCATGGCTCGGCCACCCACAACTGTGTGAACTCCATATTAGTGTTTATCATACACTCAACGATTACCGTCCAGAAATGGCAACAGCTTTTTTGTATTGTGAAAAGACAACTATCTGTTTCTCGTATTTCCTGCCTTCAGGCGTGTAAAGAGACGTTTTGTTAATTGGTAGCCTTAGTCGACGCAAGCGGCCTCTTCAATTGACTACATCGGTGTTAGTTCCCAATAACAGGGCAGTGTTTCGGTCCAACTACCTTGACTTACATCACTCGCTTGTCTGTCCTAACTTATATGGGTTCCGGTGGGTCACCGAAGCAAAGGTGCTGAAAGATTGTTGCAAGCACATTACCTGGTTCCTCGATCCTATTGGTGCATTACTTTTCCCAGCCCTAGTCACACTCGTCTCTGATCCACCCCTCGTTATGCATTTTGAAGGTTTTGACCAATAATCCTTGGTTTCCTCACTAATATGTACTCATGTTCACTGTTGTCGATATAGGCGACCTATTTTATCTCATCGATTGCATCTTGTGTGCATCCTCTCAAGGGTTGCTCATTGCAGAGATGTGCGCCCAATCCAGGTATCTTGGTTCACACCACCAAAATAACAATAATAATAATAATGGTAATAATAATACTAATAAGCCGACATGGATTTACATAGCATACACTTATCAGATGAAGTGATCACTTGTTTGAAATGAATAAAACCAGTGCAGGAGCACTATTAGCTTCGTGATTGTACCGCATCCGATAGAGTATCCAATTGCTGATGTAACTGATCACTGGAATCCCGTCCAGGAAGGTGACGAACACTAGTTCGACTCAGTTTTTCGATAACTGTTTTCATGCTCCGTTGTCTTGCTGTTGACTATCCACCTCGAGAGTTTTTCCCGGCTAGGCACAATACTCACAAAAAATACACGCAGTTTGCTGATTTGAGGACCATTACTTGTTTAGAGGAGACAATTCCAGTTTGACAAGCCCCCAATGGGGCACCAAATGCTTCCTTACCACGCATCTGTGCTATATTTCATCGCAACTCATCTGGTTCTCCAATCATACATGACTGATTCCGCGCAAATATTGTCGTTCAACCGCGGAAAATCTCCTAATATCTTCAATGCGGCGAGCTGGCCACCGACTATATGCGAACGTTCACTCATCGCCCGTGATTGTTGAACGTTTCCGTCCCCTCGTTACCAAGCGCGGAAACCTGAGCTGCTACTTCATATTCACTCTAGACTTGGCAATATATGGCAATGTCTGTAATGCTTGTCCTGTCATTTCCCCCTGTCAACTGGGTTACTTAGTCTAAACTGCCCATTGGATGGTGATTGCACTTACCATTACTTCACTGTGCTCTTCAGACTCGCTACTCTACGTTCCGGGCCAAAATTTGACCCCTATGCGATTGTTTGCACCACTGAGCTGTACTGGGTGGTGCTTCTTGCACTTCAGAGTCGCTCATACCAGATTGGTCAGGGGTAACAGGCCATAAAATTCAGTTTCCTGTTCCACCAGCTTACGTGTTGGGTGAGGTTGACTCCATATATTCCTGGAAACAGATTCCCTATGACCCACTACATAACTCACTTTGCTTTTCAGTTAGGTATTCGAATCAAAGACTTCAGTTGAAAACCCTAATGTTTCTCCTGGCCAGGCCTGGGCAAGCTGACAGTATTCTGCCCACACATTACAATGAATTTTTTTCAAACAATTTCTTGATGGTCCGGCTGTCCCAGTGGATAATCAGTGGTGCCCTATCTGCTGCATCAAGCAGAGTGGATAAGAGCTTGTATGTCACTACCCAAACTTTCCTGTCTTCTTCCTCTTGCGCTTCTTCATCCCTATCCCCTCCCTCTCTAGCTTCACTTTTTTCCACCCTGTCTTCGAATTCCGAATGCTTGACCCTCCTCCATCTTGCTTCAGTAGTCGCTTGTTTTCTACTTTTAATTCATATGCAATCGAATGGTCTTGCTCCGGTCTAGTCGACAAGTCCATGTTTAACCAAGCGGACTACGTCAGTTAACCGTTTCTATTCGGAGCACTCGATCCTCGCCAAGACTGACACACCTCAACGTGCGCACTTTCTACTGATTAGCCAACAGACAGCACTTACCCGAACACTAGAGTCCCTATGAATCGAAATCTGCTACCTGCACGATTGTAGCTCTGTGCTTAACCTGTGACACTGGCGATACTTTCCGTTTTCGTTTCTCCGAAAATAACACAGCTTCAAAATCCGGTCAAACCGGTGGGGGCAGTGCTTTGAGCCTCGCGAACTGCAGCTGCCCTTATCGGTTAGATCCCTTTTAACAGTCGGATGTGCTCCGTCGGATTGGCTGACTCGTTCAAAATTTCGAAGTCATGCAAGAACACACGGTTCCTGTTTGTCATTGCTGCATACGCGCCCACAAACTTTAACACTGACTCGGTGAAAGACGGCTACCAGCACAAACTTAACGAGCTTCTTCGTTGCGTAAAAAGTGACGATACTGTAGTGCCTGCTGGTGATCTGAACCCCCAAGTTGTAAAACTATCTACTGATTAGCTGCATCTGGGTGGCCAACATAGTGTACAGCGTTTGTCGGGAAGGTAATGTCAGTGAATTCACATTGAAGTGAATACACCTCGCAACGCGCTCGATTTTATACCACAAGGTATCACCGTCAACGCCCAATTTTACGTGGAAGTGGGTTCAGTCCGACATCGGGGACGATTGGAAATTTCATCGCAACAATGCGCCGGCTCACACCGCC